GAGAGAGAGAGAGAGAGAGAGAGAGAGAGAGAGAGAGAGAGAGAGAGAAATGATACCAGCAATTCTGTATTTTAAACCTATATACTGCAGGTAATGGTAGTGCATAGACCTTTAATCCCAGCACCAGAAGTATAGGCAAGAGGATCTCTGTGAGTTCGAGGCCAACCTCATCTACAGAGTGAGTTCCAAGAGAGACAGGACTACACAGAGAAATCCTATTTTGAAAAAACAACAACAAAAACAAATAACCAAAAAACCCTACATATTGCTCCCTGAACAAGAAAAACAGAAATTTGAAATTATCAAGAGTATTTTTTTCATAGTTAACTGCAAATAGTTAAAGGATAGCTGTGTGGGGGTTAGAATGAGAATGACCACCACAGTTCAGATTTGGTCCCCAGGGAGTGGTGCTACTTGAAAGGATTAGGTGGTGTGGTCTGGTTGGAGGAAGTGTATCACTGGGAGTGGTCTCTGGCTTGGAGAGTTCGAAAGCCCACATGGAAGTCCAGAGCCTCCTCTCTCCGCCTATGAATCAGGATGTAGGCCTCAGCTATTGTGGCAGCCCTGCCTCCATTCCACCATGATGATGGACTAAACCTCGGAAACTGTAAGCAAGTCTTTGACAGAGTTGTCATGGTCATGGTGACTCTTCACAGCACTAGAATGTTGTCTAAGGTAGGCTGTTGGGGCCAAAGAGGCCTTCTCTAATGGAGCACTGTAACTGTAACTGCCTCCAAATATAAGAAGGAGCAGAACTGAGTGTACAAGGCATCAGAACTTCTACTTCATAGGAAGGGCTCCCCACAACTTTAACATAAAGATTATTATGGACTTTAGTCCACCACAGCTGCATAAACCTTAATTCCAGCGCTTGGGAGGCAAGTGGGGAGAGCTGCAAGTTCAAGGTCAGTCTGGCCCAAAGAGCTAGTTTCAGGACAGTCATACTTATATAAGCAAATGCATCTCAACCCTCAAAACTGCAACAAACGAAAAACCTTAAGACACTACACTTTTGTACCAAAATGGTATTGTTGCAAATATTAAAGCAATACTGATTTTACTTATCATATGATGGATATGATTGTTTTAAAAATTTAGTCTAATATCCACATTTTCTCAGATTTTCTAAAATGTAGTGTTACAAAAATGTAAACTCAATTACATCCGGCACTATTCTCCCAAGTCTTACAAACATCGTCTTTCAAATATAAAAATATCAAAAATTTGTCATTACAAATAAAAACTACTCACCATGATACCACCATTTTGTTTTCTTTGGATTCTTGTTACATGTTCGCACATAAAAGGAATTATCTGGCGGTCGTCTCTGAAACAAATAGAGTTTAAATATTAAACAGGTAAGTTTGGTAAGAAAATGACTAAGAGAATTGAGTTTAGCAAAATTATTACAGAACAGATGTAAAACAATAGAAACACTAACAGCATTACTCAAGAATGTAGGCCTCAATTGTTTTAACCAGGATGGGTGGTAGGAGAGGTTAGTTCCAGCACATAACATCTGAATTTCTCGTTCTTATCTCTCCGTCAAGTACTTAATGACCACGTCTATGAACTAGCTAAACAAAAGCCGACCTAACTGAAGTTATCGAAGAACTACAGCATGCTTCAAGTATTCGCATAGACTTATTATTTTATTGTAATGTACTAAGATGGAACAGATGATCCCACTTCAAACAACATGTAAGAGGAAAGATGTCTTAGTGCTTGTGTGTACCAGTGGCCTTGCTCCTCATCTGCCCCGACTGGAACAATCTGGAAAACCTGGCAGCTCTGCAAGACACCTTGGCCAAGAGTGATGCTAACCACACTGGAGGAAGACTGGAGAGAGCCTAGCTTTTTGTCAAGAGTTCAAATGTAAAGTTTACATTAATGCTATATTGAGAGGTGACTTCTAATAGCATGAGAATCTCACCCTTGCTTTTGGCTCACTTTTACGACTCTGATAAAACGGTGTCTTTCTTTCCCTATTAAATATCTGTTTCAGTGTTTAGACTTAACTGCTTAGAGTAATGAAGATGAGCGATTAAGAGACCACCTCTTCTACTGATGCTGATCGAAAGCTACATCATTTAAGAAACGTCCAGCCAGAAAGCAGTAGTGTGAGGGACAGCCTAGACCGCTGGGGAAAAAGGCAGCCCACTCACTTGACGCTTCTAACGCTCACATACTCAGCTGTCAGCTGATGCTTAGGATGCATTCATGAATTCACATCAACGGTGATTTCAACCAACAAGAACACAAAAACTACTTCGGTACAATTTGCTAAATACTCCAAGACTACCCTGATACAATTTGAGAAAATTTCTTTAAAATTTAGGATTACAAAATTAAGTTACTTAATTTCTTTTTTGTTACCTAGTACTTCATAGGATAAAATAGCAAGTATCCAATAAATGTTTAATTTTATCAAAACTCACAGAAATTCTGACTCTTAAATAATCATGGTTAAACCTATCAAACAATCCTACTAAAAATAGTTTATCAAAAATTTAAATTAAATGATTCGTTTTATCCTAAAGTATACAAAAAATACTAGCAGCAAACCAGGTGAGCAGAACAGTGACGGTTAGGAAGGGATGAGAGGCACACGAGCAACAGTCAGTCTCTGGCCTGTGGGGTAAACATCCATGTACAGATGCACACAAAAGCTAGTGATCACCAGGCCATGCAACAGCAATGGGCAAAGAATCCCCAGTGACCATCTCAATGGCGGTGCACATCAAACCCTCTTATCACTCCGATGGGAAGCATCAAGGGAACACAGGAGCCGCTGTAAGGACAACCTGCTCTGTCTCCCAGATGAAAAGCTTAGAGTGTGTGTATTCGTGCGTGTGTATGTGTGCGTGTGCTGGGGCAGAGTAAGGAAAGAATAAACAATAAACAAGAAAGAGTAATTTCTAACAACTGTTGATTAAATAAAGCTTGATTACAACCTGAAAATGCAGAAGAAACTAAAGCTAAAGTGATACTAAGGGGCTGGAGAGATGGCTCAGCAGTTAAGAGCACTGGCTGCTCTGCTCTTCCAGAGGACTCTGGTTCAGTTCATAGCACCCACATGGTGCCTCACAATCATCTCTAACTCCAATTCCAGGGAATTCAATGCTCTCTTCTGGCCTCCATGGGTACCAGACACACTCATGGTGTTCAGACATACATGTAGGTAAAACACACATACACATTAAAAAAAATATTTTTTTTTGTTTTTCTAGATAGAGTTTTTTTTGTGTAGTTTGGAGTCTGCCCTGGAACTCACTCTGTAAACCAGGCTGGTCTTGAACTCAGAAATTCGCCTGCCTCTGCTTCCAGAGTGCTGGGATTAAAGGGCCTGTGCCACCACAGCCTGGCTAAAAATAATAAAAAATAATTTTTAAAAATGTTTTTAAGATGCATATATCATACTCCATCTAAAATAGGTTTCCTTGCAAATTTTAGTGTTTTTGAATGAGGATAGGTCTTTTAATTAATAACATGTTATAATTTAATGATAGGATTTTATATTGTACATAAGAACTGGATAAAGGGTTCTTCAACTTACAATTGAAAGGGAAAAAGCAAACACAATTTAGCCTATTATTCCCTGTACTTTTTTAAGCAACAACAACTAAAAAATTCAAAACTTAAACAAAACCAAATAAAACTCTTGTTTTTTTTTTTAAAAAAAAAAAAGTACAGCAGGAAAATTCTTTTAAAAATATCTTATGTGTGCTGTAGACACATGTGTGTGCCACACTCCAAGTGATGATCACAGAAAAACTCTGTTCTCGATTTCCAATGTAGGCTTCAGGGATCAACTGTCAGGCTTACATCGTGAGCACACTTAGGTGTTGAACCATCTCAATGCACACACACACCCCAAAAAAACTCTTTTAAACTAACATTTCAAGAAAGTACTCAGTGAAACAGTAACTCTGGGTGTTCCCGTTTCTAAACAATCTACTATTTAAACACAAGTTACTATCCTAAAGAGTCTCTGAAGTCTAATTAATAAAACAGCAATGGATTTAATCTGGAGGTCAGAGAAGCAGTCTGCTAAAGACACATGCACACTCTCAGAGCACATCATTTTTCAACTGGTCTTTCCCTCCACTTCCATTAGAGATGGGAGAACAAAAGGGAAGGTTTCAAAAATCCCACTGGTAAATGACATCCTTCCATCAATTTAACCAGTGAGATAGGAAAGCTCTGGATTGGGGAAACTCAGAAATGCTGCTGTGGATAGGAGCTGGCAAAAGGGGCTAAGAAGCAAGGGGGTGTTCGTCTCTAACTTTTCCACGGTGAAATCTAGAAACAAGAATGTGCTGTTCACTTTTACTCTGTGACTGTTCATGGAAATAAAATTCAGATTAAAAACTCGTGCACAAATGTCCTGTTCAAAATGATTAAATGACAGCTATGATCTAGTTACTGCCCATACTGCCAGCCTGCTGTACACTCAATAAACTATACTTTAGAAATACATCTAGAACACTGTGCTTGACTTCTAGTCTATTAGAATGAAAGATAACAAGATAACTTTCCAATTTATTACTAAAAATGTCATTCACTGTAATTTAGAACCAAAAAATGTTGAATCCTCCTTCAACCACAAATAATTATATACTGAAACTGTAAACCTACCTATGTTGAAAGAGGAGACATTACCTGGAGTAATTGTAAAGTCCTACCTTTTCTTTGCAGCTGGAAAGCATGCTAATAATGCTAAGACAGACTGACTGGACTGAGAGCGCTGGGGACCAGTCTTCTGTTAGAATGGATAAACAGATATGACCATTGCTATACACATGAGGATGGACGGGAATATTTTCACCAGTAAACATGACCTAAGAAGAAATAAAATTCCATTAACGCTCAATACTCTCTTCTATTAAAAACTAAAATATTCTGCACATTTAACAAGTAATAATTTTTAAGACATAAAATAAAAACAAATAGATTTCAGTAGCAAATGTCCACTCATCACCAACAATTCAGTAACAACCTCACTGCGTAGATGACCATGCAGCAACACAAAACCCTAGACTATTTTTTAAATTCACTGAAATTTTCTAAATTTGTGTTTTTTTCACTAGTGAATGGTAATCTACATTCATTAGAATGTTTTTTCTCAGATTCTACTCATTACGCACACCTCAAATCCCAGCACTTGGGAGGCAGAGGCAGAGGCAGGTGGATCCTGGTGAATGTGAGGCAGCTTGAGCCTCACACAGTGAGTTCCAGGCTAGTCAGGGCTACACACTGGAAGCATGTTTGAACACAAAATACAACAAAACAAAAAACCCAAATGCATTAAAATTTCAAAAAAGTATTTAACGTTAAAACTGCAATAGAAATCAAACAAAGCCAAAGGCCTGACTGGAGAAAAAATAAAGTTGAGTCTCCGCTCTGCCTTTACTCACTGAAGCTGTTTCTTTATCTCGCCTTGGCACAACTGTAAATGCCTTCCTCTGCCCTAACACTTCAAGTAAACCACCTGAGCATCCAAACAGGAAAGAGAACAAATCCACACATCCTGAAATATCACTATGCACATTCTAACACAATTCAAAGGCAGGAGATAGACTTAAGATAATTATGTATTATGTACGTGTTCCTCTTTATCTTGCAGTGCTGCACTAATGCAGGTCCTTGTGTGTGCCCCACAACCCTCTACTCCGAGCTACAGCTCTAAGAGAAATTACTTGCTTTTATATAAAACTCCAGTTAAATTAACTCACCAATCTTCAAGTACATTTTACAAGGTGCCATATTAATTCTGTAGTTTAGCAGTCATTCCTTAATTAGTGATCTTAAGAAAAACATTAGCATCACTAGGATGAAGACCTGGCTTGTATTCACAATCAGGCTGGGTGTGGCAGCACACCACTGCAGAAGCAACATCTAGAGCCTGACATAACGGATTCTACTCGAGCCTAGAGGTCCAAGGCCAGTCATGGGAAAACAGTACAAACTTTCTCTCAAACAAACAGCAACAACCACCATAGGATAAACTCAAAGATGCCACTCAAGATCCTTGAATTCCCACACATCCACAGTCCTCAGCACAGACATTATAGAATTGTTCAACCTGTACAGCAAACGGAGGAGGAGGAGAAATCAAACTTTAAATTCTGACAGAAACTGATGAAACATTTGCTGCTCTGCATGTATCTGGGGGTGGGGGGAGGTTTCCCCTTAAATGAAGAAGACGGCCAATGAAATCAGTTTGGCTAGAGTGAAGTATGCCCACATTTAATACAGAATAGATACTGTGAAACTAAAATCAGCTAAGGTTTTGGTAGATATCTTAAATATCTAGCCACAATCTGACTTATTAAGATTCTTACAGGCCAGGCAGTGGTGGTGCACTCAGGAGGTGAGACAGGTGGATCTGGATCTATGTGAGTTCAAGGTCAGTTTGGTATTTAGAGCTAGTTCCAGGGCAGCCAGGACTACACAGAGAACCCTTGTCTCTAAACGCCAAAAATAAAATAAAAGATTCTTAAAAATATGCACATTAACAAGCTGATTGCCCAAACGAGTAGGCCTCAGGCTGTTAAGCTGAGGTTAATATAACAAATCTCTCCAAACTTTCGGCAAGTGCTTTCCTTAGCCTTTAAGACCTGGCCGCCTACCTCTACTCTCCCCACAGAAGGAAAATTGAGGCATAAAAGCCAAGTCTCATAACAAGAGAAATCAATTACTTGTCCTTCATACTTGCAGAAGGTCCATTCTTCACCTTTAAGGCTGCTCTGAGAAAGGGCATTGTTCAGCTCATGTCACAGCTCTGGTCCTGCTCCCAGCAGTCCTGAGTGTGACACCTTCTGTGTCCATCCACAACTGCTCTTACAAGCATGAGTCACAGCTTATGTCAACATATTTATTTGTAGATTGTGCTACACGTCTAGAACAGGAATTTTTACATGTCACAGAATATAGATCTGTCCTGATTATTCATTTATCCTAAAAAGTCATTTGACCAGCAGAGTGTTATCACTGAGAATTTACTCCCTAGTCAGTTATTTTAAAGAATAAACCATCCACCCCCCCCCAATAAGGTCTCTTTATTAAGAAGTCTATGAGGATAGTGACAGTGTCACACACACAAAAAAAGAGTTAAGTTTTTACTATGACTATTAGAAAACACTCGGGCAGCCAGACAGATACAAAGGCCATCAGGACACTCTGCCTAGGCATTCACGGAGCATGAGGAAAGCAGTATTCTCCTTGCAGAGAAATCGTTACCAGTGTCCATGAGCCAGGAACTAACAGGAAATCCAGACATAAGATAGAGTGGTGAACAGCAAGGAATGGGACCTAAGGCAAAGAGCAACAGACGGTCTATAAGCAGAGCAGAGGACAAAATTAAACAGCTCTAAAACCAGCGGCCAAAACAAAAATCAAGCCAAGTTCCCCGCTGGGCACTCAGGAGGCAGAGGCTGAGTGGGATGCTGGGGGGGGGGGGGGGAGTCAACTAGCACTGCTAAGAGGGCGTAGGCCAACCTGCGCTGTCCTCAGAGTCTGTCTTAAGACACCAACCGAAACAAAATCAATCTCAGTTATTAACATATCCCATGAGGGAAATGCAGCCGTGTGAACCTGAAGCCATCAGACGCGGGATAACTACTGGCATGTATTCAGCGGCCATTACGGCCTAGGCCCTTTAGAAGCTTGTCTAGGCAGGAAAAGGATGCTTGCTTAACATGCCAGAGAATTCCTGAAATAAAACATTTTTACAACAGTTTGTTGATGTTAAGGCATTACCAGTCTTTTCCATTTCCACAGAGAGTTTCATTATAATCTCGGTCACTAAGGGACCCATTATGGGAAGAGTAACCAAGGCTAACTTTAAGCACGTACCGTTTTCCATCTTGTTTAATATCCTGTATGAGTCAAAGGAGAAAAACTGACATTTCTGCTGTTTTACTTCAAGTGAGCAGGTTCTGAATGATGTTAATTCTGAAGTCTTAAAAAAAAAAATTGGTGCAGTCCCATGTAGCTTATAAAACTATCTAGGACTGATATAGCCAGACCACTGAATACAAGCGATCTGAAACTACAACTCAATTTACTTGGTCAAAATTTGTTATACAATCACAGTTAACTGAGGGCCGGGTGGTGGTGGCACATGCCTTTAACCCCAGCAGTTGGGAGGCAGAGGCGGGCAGATCTCTGTGAGTTCGAGACCAGCCTGATCTACGAGAGCTAGTTTCAGGACAGGCTCCAAAGCTACAGAGAAATCCTGTCCCGAAAAACCAACCAACCAAACAAAAAACCACCTTGACTGGAAACTCGCCACGTTCCTTGCTGCAGAGTTTCAGAGATAAGTAAAAGTACAACTCTAGGACTTAGAATCAGAACTTAGAATCCCAAAGCTGCATAAGAAGCCATCCTCAAATCACTACATTTCTACTCACCTCCTTATTACTGCAGCTCATTTCCAAAAGTAGAAGAGCTAAGGTGTAACAACTTGCAGGACAATTTTGAAAGTATACATACCTAGTCCACATCCAGTCTAAAAATTTAACCAAACCAATATTGGAATAATTTGAGTACCATGAGTGTAGTATCTATTAAAATACAACCTGAAAGACATCAGAGTTACGGAAGCCTACCCAGACTATGAACGACCACAATTAAGTTAGGAGAGGAGGTACAAGGCGTCTCCCTATTGCCCAGGCTGGTCAACCCTGCTCTGCCCCATGGGGCTTAAGCATTTCTCCAACAGCAGCTTTAAAAGTACCTGGGGCTATAGGCATGAGCTACTACTCATGCCTGATTCACTACTCAAATTTGATACATTCTAACAATAGTTCAATCTGATAGCTGTCAATATCTACAATAATCTACTATAAAACAACAATTACTCTAGACATTTAACTATATATTCCAGTACGTTTATACAGTTTACAATAGTCTAGGCATTATTACTAAGAAGAAAACAAGGAATTGAGTTCAGGTAACTTTCATAAACAAAATGCAAGAATTTCTCAACATCAAGCCTAATAATGAAAGACCTTACGATACCTATTTACAAAGAAGATACAGTCCATGTTTCATGAACGGTCTGGAGACAAAAAGTTACCTAATATGCATCAAGCTGGGTCCAAACTGTAAGCATACAATGAACACAACAAAATAGGATACATACAGGTAGGAGTGCAACTCAGTAGTAGTTCACATGAAATGCATGAGCCCTAGGTTATCAATCAATTTCTAGCGTAGGGATGTAGAGGAGGCAACCAGAAAGACAACCAAACACCAGGCTATAGTTATAAGACAAAGTCCATCTGTCATGCCATATAGATACCAAGGCTTCTTGTGAGGACAACATGAGGGGTTTTCTCTTGTTATCATCAGAGGCAGGCTGGGGGCCACACCTGTAATCCAGCACGCGGGATGCAAACACAGGCGGAGCAGATGTTTCAGATCATCCCTTACTATATAGAGAGCAAGTTTAAGGCCAGCCCAGCACACATGACAGCATGTCTCTACAATAAATAAGTAAATAAAATTTAAAAGTATAATATAAGCTACAGATAGCATACAATTAGTAATAACTGTCAAAAGTGGCTAGGGAGCTCATATATTTAGGTGTATTATACAGGCAGATTAGGTTGTATTTAGGAATGAGAAGGGGGAAGGTCAAGAACTTGAGAGAAAAAACAGGGGTGAATGGAGGGATGAGGAGAGAAAAAAGGAGGTGACGTGATATAATTTCAAAAAAATATTAAAAATGACTAGGGATTGAAGTTTTATGAATTTTCGGTGCAGACTTCTCCTTCTAGCACACAAACCCAGATCACTAGCATCGACAGGAATAGTTTTCCTGCTTTACTTGATC